TGTGTGTGTGTGTGTGTGTGTGTGTGTGTGTGTGTGTGTGTGTGTGTTCTTTTTATTTACATTGTTGTAGCCATTGTGTATATTTTTTTCTTGGCTCTGCTTACTTCACCCTGCATCAATTCTTACACACCTTTCTGTGCTTCTATGTATTCATCATATTGATCATTTCTTATAGCACAGTAATATTCCATTATATTAATATACCAGTTTCTTCAGTCATTCTCTAATTCAATAGGCATCTACTTTGTTTTAAATTCTCTGCTATCACAAAAAGTGTTGCTATATTTTGGTGTATATGAGGACTTTCCTCTTAACAATGGCTTTCTTGGGATATAAGCCCAGTAACAGAATCTCTGGGTCAAAAGTTATGGATGTTTTAGTCACTTTATTTGCATAATTCCAAATTTATGTCCAAAATGTTTGTACCATTTCATAATAAACCAACAATGTTTTAGGGTGCCAATCTTTCCATAACCCCTTCAACATTGAGGAAATAATTTTTCAAGATAGGAGAGACCTGAGAATAGTTTATAAGTAACAAGCAAAAAGAGGGGAAGCTGCAAATGAAAAAGAATGGATGAGTGATGGAGCAAGGCTCCTGGATAAAGCCAAAAGGTCCAGGATTATCAAGTGTACTACTGCCTCCCTTGTACCCTTCCAGACTTCTTACACTTTACTCCCACATATGCTACTATCTAGTGACATTTTCTTCCCATGAGACACTTCAACTTCATGCATGTTCACTGTCTGTGCTCCTTGCCTGGAAGGCTCTCCCTCCTCTTCTGTGGCTCCCTAACTTCCTTCAAGTCTCAGCTAAAACTCTACCTTCTGCAAAAAGCTTTTTCAGTGCACTTTAATGCTAGTGGTTTCCCTCTAAGCCTACCTCTAGTTTATGCCCTATATATCTTGTTTTCACATAGTTGATTGCATATTGTTGCCCCTGTTAGAATGTGGACTCCTTGAAGACAGAAACTATTTTTTGCTTTTCTTCATATTCCCAGCACATAGTCAGCACTGAATAAATGTTTGCTGACCAAATAATGAGCTATATCTTTAGGTGGGTGGACCCAGGGTACCTTGAGGAGTTGTCAACTCTCAGAGAATCCACTCTCTGAGTTGGGGCTTAGCTGTATGGGTGCTCTAGGTAGTAATCAAGTAGTCTGTCAGTGAACAGATATCCTTTGAATCCCCTCAAGGGTGGATTCAAGTGGAGGAGGTATGTGTGAGAGCTACCAGATGGTTGAGACTTTCTTCCTCATATGGGTCATGCTACAGTATTCATGGGGCCAGTGGGGAAGGTATGGGAGGTATATAATCAAAAGGACTAAGTGATGGAGAAAGGACCACAGGGGAAGAGATGTTTAAAAGAACAATGGCAGTTATCAGTAGCAGCTATTTCTACAGCAAGCAGTTGTGTCCCCTAAGCCAGTCTTGTGGGAAATCATGAACTTGCAGCCAAGAACATATTCAAGTTATTGAACCAAGCCAAATGAACAGAATAGGAGAGGTGCACTGGTCCATAGCCTTCACTTAAGATTGTGTCAGCTCTCCCTGGTTGCAGTGACCTTTTTATGGACACAGTAAACTTATTTCTTGCTACTGGACTTAGGTGAGTCCCATTCACATCCGTATCTGTTTTATAATAAACATGTTCATATTCAAAATACTGGTTGGTAGCAGGTGAGCTGATTCAAATATCCTAGAAGTGAGTCGGATTTAGGCTTTCCTAAATTTATTTCCTAGATTTATCTGAGAGGAGAAATAATCCAAGATGTTTTATTATTTATAAGTCTGCAGGATCAAAGTGGCTGTATCAGTTCTCATGGAAGTGTTTTTGTCATTTGTAAGAAAAAGCAAAGATAGACTCTTCTGCACTCCAAGGTAGGATGGGGAGCCAAGAGGAACTTGGGATTAGAAAGGAGATAGGAGAGCAGAGCATTGGAGGGGGAAATGGTTGTAGAAAAGATCAAGAAAAACTTGGCTGTTAAATAAAGTGAAGATCAGGCTAGAAGGAAAGGAAAAAATAAGTAATGTGAGATAGACCAGTCAATAAAGGATATGAATTGAGGAGAGACATTTTTATCTAGTTTGGACCATCTTCTAATTCTAAATATAAAAATAACTTTGAAAGACTTAAGATCTCTCCTAGATGAAATGACTCCCCCATGACACCAGAGGACAAGAAGCATGCTACAACTTCCTGGCAGAAAGGTAATGAACTCAAGGTACAGAATGAGGCATATATTTTTGGACATGGCTAACGTATGACTTTGTTTTGCTTGACTGTGCATATTTATTACAAAGGGTGATTTTTTTTTTCTTTTTTCCAATGGCAGGGTGGGGATGTGTTGAAGGAGGGAGAGTTGGGACAGAGTCCCTCCCCTCCCTCAAAAAAGAACAGAATAGAAAGGAAGGGAATCCAAAAGGAACCACAACAAGCAGAACTTGAAAGTTATATGTTGAGTTTTTTATGTACTTGAAAACCAAGTTCTAGGTAAAAGAGATTTACAGTTTCATGTATAATCCTCTTCTGTTCTACAGTGTATATGGAAATGTTTAGGTGGTGTTCAGAATAAAAAAATAAAATGAAAATTTTAAAATTTATAATTTATTTCTTTAATACTTTAAATGCTTTATTATCCTATCAATATGAGTATTCTCTTCATTGGTACAGATCTAAGCCTATCCATACCTCTTTATTTTGTATTATTTGTTCGTTGATCCTTCACAAAAGATTCACCCAGCGATCTGGAAGCATTCTTCGAGACTCTTTTGCATTTTGTAGATACCAGTGGAATAATCCGTATTGTCCATCTGAACTCCCTCTAAACATATGACTGGCTTACCTCCTTTTCTGATAATAGGTTTCCTCCATGAAATTCCTTACATTATTTCTTGCACTTAGGTCATTATTAGAAATAAGCTGCAGCAAATTTGTACCCACCATGTATTTCTCCATTGCCTTTTGAGTCACCTGTACTCTTAGTTCTTTGGAGATTATGGTGACCCAAGATTTGTACTCACAGAACATCAATGGGAGAACATTTTACACTAGGAGGCATGTTGAGATCATTGAAATACTGCTTAGTTTTCCAAATACAATTCTTGCTGCTTCTTGTTCAGTTGCGGGGCTCAGCTCATCATCTTTATGGTGTGCCTGTCCCAGCAACATATTGATGTACTAGTTCAATGAACTGTCCAAACAACTTAATCATAGTCTGGAAAATGTGCGTTTTTGATCCATTTAGTGTTTCCAACATGGTTTGTCAAGATTGCTGTCTTTTGATTAATCATGCATCTCATATCAAAGCCCAGTTAGAGCCAATGGAATAACCTTAGTACAGGTTAGGAAAGAAGAAGCTCAATTCGATAAACACTTCTTGAATTATAATATGTGAGGCATATATTATTTGCAATAGGTGCTGGGATACAAAGATGAAAAATTGCATATTTCCTGCTACCAAGGACCTTGTATTGTAAGGGAGAGATGAGTCATACACATGTTGCACCCTCTCTGGTCTACTGCAATTCATACAAACTCAAAAGTTGGGTCCCCATACAAGCAGATAGGTGGCACAGTGGATAGAGCATTGGAAATGTCATTAGGAAGACCTGAGTTCAAATCCAGCCTCAGATACTAGCTGTATGTTCCTGGGCAAGTCATTTAGCCTATGTTTGCAACAGGTTGAGAAGAATTAGAATTGAGAAAAGACTATCAGATTTCACAAGTAAAAGATCACTGATAACTTTGGAGAGGAAGGATTGTAGTTAGGTGATGAGGTAAAAAACCACACTGTAAAGGCTTGAAGAGTGAGAGGAGAGGAAAGGGAGACAGCATAAACAGTTTTTTCAAAGAGTTTGGTTGAGAAAGGAAGGAGAGATATGGGACAAGAACTTGAGAGGATGGTAGGGTCTAGTGAAGGTCTTTTAAGAATGTTTGAAGAATGAGCATGTTTGAAGAAAGAACCAATTGGTTCTTTGGAGAGGTGGAAGATTTGAGAAAAAGAGGGGATGGTTACAGTTGTAATCTGCTATAGAAGACAGGTCTTCTCATCAAGAACAAAGCATTAACTGGAACACAGGTCCCTTGTATTACAAGAATAATATAAACACTACCATATGACACCCTAAGAAGGAGCACACGGACACAATTATCTAAATGCTTTCCTGTGAGTATCTCAGGGGAAGACATGGAGACCAACCCATAAAAGAGAAATTTCATTTCTATAAACTCAGTTTCATCTTCTTACATTCTAGAGATTCACTTGGGTATTTCACTGAGTTAACAATCCAAAGCCCCCAAAGACACAAAGATCAGCCTTTTCCACTCCTGACATATCCCCACTACATATTATCCCTGGACTTCCATAATGATAATACCAGGCAGCTCAGCAGCATATTGCTGGGAGCTGTCCCTTGTCACAGTGCTGACAACTCAGTCTCAACTTCACTTCTATTTCCTGACCCTGATGTTCCTAACTTCCTGTTAACTACAATGCTAACAACTTCAAGGAGGTAGAATTGTAACAGGGTCTTGAAGGATGAGTAGGATTTCAACAGGCAATCTTAGATGGAGTTAGGGAAATGAGGGACATGATAACTTTTTATATAGTTTAGGGACTCTCATAAGGAAAGGCTTGACATTTTGTTTAGATTTAGAGGATTAGTGTAGAAGACTGGGTGGAAGTAATGGTAGAAGTTACAAGGGATTTCAGCTTGATATAAGGAA